TATACTTATTGGTACAATCCATTTAATAAAATGCAACATTTTTTTGTTTTAATGAAAAAATCAGTTATTTTCATGAGAACGATTTGTTATTCCATCTCAATTTTTTAATCTCCAATCGCAATAACGTAAAGTATTATTACCCGCGAACCAATGAGTCAAATTTAAGAAACAACCCACTGTTAGAAAGCTGAATGGCTACGCTTTAAAATGAATGTAAACTTTAACGTTTTCGTCTATTATTTGTTTAGCAATTTACATTTCAGTCGAGGATTGCGCTTTTTTTTATACACCCTGTATAATAAACTATGTTTTCGAGGGGGCCAAATTTCCAAAGGGGGGGGGCATATTTCCTAGGAAATATGGCCCCCCTAGGAAATTTGGCCCGGGGGGGAGGGGGCAAAGTTTGGGGAGGGGGGGGGCAAATTTCCTGGGACACCGGCATGGAGGTAGTATATGTTCGGCCTGGTAGCGGTATAAAGGCCTGTTTAAACTATTCCAGCATCCAGTATTTTTTTGGTATGACAATGTTGAACAGTGTTGGATTAAAATCCTGAATAAAGCCAAACTAATCCAACATCAGCTGACATTACCTAACATAATGTTCATAAATTACTGTTGCCATAGAGTAATTTATAATTGAACACAAAACAGTTTTAATAGACACTCCATAAATTGTTAACATTTCATTCTCTACGTTTTGATTATTACTTTGCAGTCATCTTCAGGATCGAGACCTCCTGAACATGACTGCGAAGTAATAATCGAAACGCAGAGAATGAAAATGTTTGCAATTTATGGAGTGTCTATTGTTTTGTGTATAATGTTCATGTTGGACTGGTTTACATCGGCTTTAAGCAATTTTTCATCCCGGCTCGTGTGCTTATAGTTGCCTATAGTTGGTATACCCCACACTGTTATCAAAGTTAATTAATTGGAACACTTTAATAATACCTTGCCTGGCGGCATTTCGTCTCTCATCAATCGATTGAATTGGCGCTTGGTGAAGAATCCTGCGATTATGTCTCCATAAATGCGCGGCCATTTTGTAGTTAAACACAACTATTATCCCAAACGGAGTTATACAATAAACGGACAATATCAGCACGAGCATTACTATACGATCATGAAACACAATTGCACATGCCCCAACACGATAGTCATATTCAACGTGTACAGCAAACGGTCCAATAATTGTCTCAAAGATCACTGCATGTATCCATATAAACACAACCACAGCAATGACTCGTTTTCTTGTGATTATTGCTGAGTATCTGAGCATAGACTTTACGGCAAGAAATCTGTCAATTGACATGCAGGCCAAAGTTTCTGTCGCAGTGACATAAAGTGAATAGAATGTGGTACCAACAAAAATACATACAGATTTTCTGTTCGCTACCAGATCTGGCCTCATCACTTGCAGTATTTGAGATGGAATGACCACAATAGAAATTAACAACTGAGCAAAAGTCAGACTGACAAGTAGGACACTGGAAGGTCTTGCCCGGGTTGGTCGCAAATTAAGATGGCCAAACAGGACAAGAATATTAGCAGGAACTGCTAGAATCATGATGAAAATTGATATTGTTGAGAAACTGATAACTTCATCTTTGGCAAAGAAGTGGATCACACTTCCATTCATTGTTGAGGCGTTAAAACAGCACACGCCAACAGCATATATGACTTGAATTAAAACCACGATGTATGCACTTGATAGGAAACGGCGTTTTAAGTAATCTAAAATATACTTTAAATAGTGGTAACGAAATGTTTGTTTATACTGAATAAAAGTGATAGTAATGAGCAAAGCAGGTGTAAATTCTGTTTAGAATTTCTTTGACGAAATTGAAATTTTGAACTAATCGATGCATTTATTTGCCGAAATAATTTTAGCCTGAGACTGATTCTAAACTGTCTAGCATATATATATATAGTACATTTATTATAAGGTTATAAGTATAGTTGTACAATGTTCTATTCGTCTCTTGTCTTGTGCTTTTGTCTAGAAACTTTGTCGAATGTGGCTGCCCTGCCGAACGTTGCGGCAAACTTAAGATCCTTAATTTAATAGACAATTTTTTCAATAACAAACGTCGAAATTCTCCTTATATTTGTCAGGTAGTTGCATCCAACGAAAGCTTCTTAATATTATTGGCACTACCTACGCTGGCACAGACAGTTCAATGTCGCGTATTGCGATGAAAAGTGTTCAAAACCTAAAATCTTTTTGCTGTTCCTCTCAAAATTAGTTTGTTTTAGCTCTATTTTGTAGTTTCCACATGCAGTTAGCAACCTTCTTAAATTATCTGGCGGTTGAGAAACACAAAATAGTAGTTAAATATTGTTAACATAAATACAAATATCATTGATGCTGCATGTATTCTCCTCTTAAAAGGTTTCCGAAGCATACATGCATGCACGCATGTTTTTATATGTCCAGATGTTGCTAACAATTATTGTCTGCGTCACGGGTTATGTATACCCCTCGGGAAATGTGCTGTTTTATACAGGGCTTATGTCTACTAACGCCCCTTCGCTCTAAACGCGGAAGTTCTGCTTGTATTTTGCAGGTAGTTGTATTCCTGTCAATCCGCAGCTTTGTTATTATCGTCATGCACTGCCTACACTGCAGGCTGACTGGCACAGACCGTTCGAGATTATAATCGAACCACGCGAGCTTTAGGACCAGTTCAATTTGACAACAGTAATATTACATCGAATTAGCATCTTAATATACGTAAAATAGTTTGTACGGTACCTGAAACATTCAATATCCTGCTTGTATATATATACATGGATAAAGGCCCATTTCCACTCAAGAAAAGTTTCCACGGAGGGAAAATGTTCTGAAAATATCATTGTTGAAAGTTGAAAATTTTCAACTTTAGAAAATTTGTGCCGGCCAATCACATTTTACTGAAAATTTTCTTTCTGCGGAAAATTTACCTGAGTGGAAATGGACGTTAAGATATTCAGGAGCATGGGGCCGGTTGTATACGAAGACCGGAAATACGGATATGGACGACACAGTTAATAAAAAGGAACTTTCACATTTATAAATACTAAAGTTTAATCTTGATAATAGACCAGTCAACAGGTTATTTTAGGAAGCTTGAAAAATCCCTATTCGGTGGATATAGTGCGGTATACCTGACCTTCGTACGGCAGGTCCCTGTAGTATCCTCGTCCCTCGAGGTCCAATAATGCACATCCTCGTCCCTCGAGGATGCATAATGCAAAAATGTTTTTGAAATAGGTCATATTTACTTACACAAGCTTTCAAATTCTCACGCGGAGTTATTATGTCACTTCACATATCTTAACACTGAATATATTATATTTAACACTGAATATATTATTTTATACTTTTTAGGGTATTGGAGTTGAAATCAACGATCCTTTCGATCGATATCGAAAAAACATGAGCTACACTTACAATCGTCGTAAGTAAAACTTTTATTTCATACATTATTGCATACATATGTTGATTTTTTTAAAGGGAGATTGATTTAAACGTACTAAAAAAATGGTTTTCAGAATGGGCTCGTTCCGAAACAGCTTTTTCCAGTATTTTCTAGGAAGTTGAATACCTTTTCAAAGATTCCCCCAAATGAAGAGGGTACTTTGGATTGGGATGATTATAATATAGCTTCCATATAGTCGGAACGTGGTAGTCAATTTAGACAGTCGTCTGCTATGAGCCGTTTTGTAATGACTAGACTAAGCATACATGAAATGGCCAGCAGTGTCCACCACCAAAAATTGACTATCAAAAAGGCGACTGGCAACAAAAACTGGCATGTGCGCACTAAACATATTAAATCAGGTTGTGCATACTGCTCACATGAGTCCTGCCAGTGGCGAAGCTAGGTCATGCATGCTATGCAAATTTTTAATGATTTACACTATTCAAACCTTTAAAAATGTATTGTCTTTAACCTACTTGGATGTAGGTTTATAGCATAACATGACGAGTTGCCATGGCTAGCCATTGAGTCCTGCTCAATTTATTCCACTTGTATATAATGTTAGTTTTGTTGGCTGAAGCTTTCTTATCATCATAATTTCTTTTAGCACGTAGAGATCGGGATCGGAAGTAGATAGAAGCTGGTAATGAAATGATTTCTGATGAACTGGAACGTCCATGAATTTCCATGAATACAGTATAGCGTCGTAGTTGTGCAAGATATTGTGACCATGCGACAAACCACATCTGATAAGGCAACCTAAGACGTCATCGTTTGAAAACTAGACCCATGAGCTTGTTCATGCAAGATGCTGCCTCGTACTAGGGTGAGGCGGTTAATCGGTAAACCGGAAAACCGATGTTTTCTGAAAACCGATTCAACCGGTGTTGTTCTAGGGAAAAAAAAACAGAAAAAAATTCGGAAAAACTATTGAAACAAAATTGCAGAATGCCAAAATCACCGCGGTAGTCTAACATTTTCTGACGAAACTTCGAACTTTCAAACGTTAAAAACGTGAGAAAATAGCGCACCTTACCGCTTACATATCAAGGCAGTACCATACCATTAATGTAATTTTTTTAAACTAAAATCTTGAGCGTGTAGCATGAAGTTTAATCTAACTGTAATATATTTTGCCATAAAAATCGGGTTTTTTTCAGATTGTTTTCGGTTTTTACCCTGAACCGTCTCATCGTACCTCGTACCCAGTCGCTTTGCTAACGTTAGGGAGACGCCTGGGTACGAGGCGGCGTGGTGGAACATGTTCTGTAAGATTGATCATACATTATGAGAAATATTTTATTGGCGCATGCTACCAGAAAGCACATTCTTTTCGGAGCCCTGTTTGCTCCAAAAGATTTTAGAGCTGTGTGTTGCAGCAATAAGACGCGCTTGTACAAATAACTAAATTAAAGACAAATCGTTTTAACGGTGTTATACGTATTCAATGTCAAACATGCATCAACGATAAACGCCAGTGACCGTGGAGTGTGTTTCGAAGTCAACGGGGGGGGGCGAGTGAACGAAGCCTATTATGGTCAGATTATTGTACTGATTATATATATATCAATTTCCTTTTTGTCTTTTACTCGGCGAAAAATTGGGGCATGCAGGCATAGCGCAACTTGCCCTCCCAGCTTCGCGGTCCTTGAATGCAAGTAATTCTCCATTTTGTAGCCATGTAGCATTCTGTTTCATAGCTGTTCACACTGGACCCCTCAGTTGTGAAAAACGGTGAATCCTAGTGGGCAGATTGTTTTCGTAATCGACAAAACATGAATTTGATAGGGAAAATAAATTGATTGGAACAGATTAAAAATTAATAATAGTAGCTAAAATTTTGAGAAATTACGAAATATGAAGGGAAAAATGAACAACGGTACATTACCCTCAAATAATATCAGAAAGCTAAATAAATGAGTAATGTCCAGAAAATTGTTTTTACAATATGACACCCTCCAGTCAGTCAAGATCAGATTCTTTCCTTGCCAAGAAGAATCATTGTGTTTGTGCCAAAGTCTGTAGAAAATGGCATAGTCTAGCGTAAGTGGGTTCTATTTTTAAACAAAAAGCTGTAACATATTTACTTTAAACAAAAAGCTGTCACAATATTAGTGAGCTTCAGATTTGGAGGTCAAATCTCAACCACTCTATTAATTCTGAACCAGTTTCAGCCCAAATATACAGGGTGTATCAAAAAAAACTGAACAGATTTAAAAGTGCTCTCAATTTCGCAAAACAGCTATCTGTATCCGGTTTTTTATATATATAGCCTCTGTGGGTACTTATAATGTAGAATAATGAGAAAAATTTCTCGAACTCAAATTTTGTGAACCAGGGGGGTGTGTCTTTTCCAACAAACTAAAAATGGCTCGCGCACAAAATTTAAAAGCTGCAATCATATTTTGAGTTAACAGATAGAAAATTTGTCGGGATTTTAATTACTGTACAAAATTTCAGACAATTTGGTTTAGTTTAAGCCCCTTAACTATTCACGCAAAGTTACAATTTTCCCGAAAAATCAGCTATTTGCATGCTTAATTAATGCATTTGCCTAATTTGCATATGTCAGCAATATGCAAATTAGGTAAAGGCATTAATTAAGCATGCGAAATGCTGACTTTTTAGAACAAAATGAATAGTTAAAGGGCTTAAACTAAACCAAATTGTCTGAAATTTTGTACAGTAATTAAAAACCCGACAAATTTTCAATCTATTAACTCAAAATATGATTACAGCTTTTAAATTTTGTGCGCGAGCCATTTTTAGTTTGTTGGAAAAGACACACCCCCCTGGTTCACAAAATTTGAGTTCGAGAAATTTTTTTTATTATTTTACATTATAAGTACCCAAAGAAGCTATATATATAAAAAAAACAGATACAAATAGGTGTTTTGAGAAATTGAGAGCAATTTCAAATCTGTTCAGTTTTTTTTGATACACCCTGTAGTGTCCTCCTGGTGTCACCCCCACCCCCCTCGCATGTTCTCTTGTATGTGCAGCAAACAGTTAGGACCTACTGTAGTTGGGTTTCAAGCAATCCCACAAGACTTTAACACAAAGTTTAGATTAGTGTCAGATTAAGATTATAGATTAGAGTTAGATTAAGATTATATTAGGGTTAGAGGTTGGAGTTGGGGTTGGATTAGGGTTAGGTTCATCTATCCCAATAAGTTATTGCATACAATGAATCGGTTTACAATTACGTTGGATTATTGGTTACAACGTGCGGGACGGCTGGTTGAAGTGTCCTTCATGTGCACTGGACTGGAGCATGATGAACGCTACCTATAAGTCTTTTCTAAACTAGTTCTAACTGATTCTTAAAAAAATATCAAGTGCCTTGACGAGACTACTGATCCATGAAATATTAATAAACGAGAAAGCGTTTTTGGCATCTAAAATACCGAAAATTGAAAAACGCCGAGTCAAGTCACATACTTTGAGATGTTTTATACGCCGGTAATCAACAGCTTTCGAGTTAATTGTTGAAGGAGTTTGTAGATGGAATTTCGAAATGGCGAATGTACTGTAGATGCCCAAAATGCTGATATTTTCGAGTTTGTTATATATTACTTCTCAAACAGACTCGTTGATTATGGGCATTTTTTACGGTGCTGGTTCATTTATATTTTGTCTTTTGATCATGAACTTGATTCATGAGTTTGAGAACTATAGTTTTACAGAATTATGAGTCTAAGATAATGAAGAAACCATTTTTATCGTTTACATTATCTTCAGTTTGCGGAGGTACATTGTACTCTGAAAGTGAAAGCAGGATTTTCGCTTTCAATTTTTCTCTTTCTGACTGACGCGATCTATTGAATTACATACCAACGTGATATGCCTTTGGAAATCCGATTCGCAGAAATTGCCCATGCATGAAAAATTTGCGGAAAAAATTGTTAGTTGTGAAGAGGCTTAATTAATAATCTGACGTCAGCCAAAGTTAAAAAAGTATCCATGAATGAATGGCAATAAATTTTAACAAATAATGTGAATTATAAGCCCCATAACAGACGAGGAACTCGAACACCAAGGAAAGCTTCTGTTAATCTGGAGCATTTAATCGAGTTTCGGAGCTAAATCAGTGGCAGGCACTTGATGAAATATTTGGGGGTGAGGGTTTCGTTGTCGCGACCGGATTGCTTGTTGCAAATTTGAGGAAAACGTGTGATTGCACTAAGGGCGCTTTCCATGAACACGGTCAGAATGGTCAAATTGTTGAATGACACAAAATCTGGGCTTCGGGCCGATCTAACATTCTAACCAGAAAATTTGGACCAAATTAGAAGGAGGACGATTTTCTATAGATGTTCGAGAAACCTGGGCCAGGTCTTTCCATTACAGACAAAAATTCTGGCCTAAAGGTCTGGCAGGCCATTAAATGGAAAGCACCATAGTTACAGTACCTGCATGGTTAATTAGAGAACGAAATGCAGAAGTTCAACCAGTACTGTAACTTATATATAAATTGTAACTTCTTTCATAACATACTTATTTAATTATATACGTGTATAAAAGTTTATGGCAGTCATTGGATTTAACTGGATTGTCATTAAGAGAGGATGTTCTCCAACATTTGTTCATGCGAGGTGTTGTAGTGATGAGATTAGCTTGGCTTGGGGTACTTATTAATATGCTAATAGAAACAAAACCTAATTCTTTTACGGATTTGTATATAGCATCTCAACTAAAGTTACAGTATGTCGTACTCACGCACTGGACAATTTTTGTTGTTAACTGTGTTAATATTGTCGTATTAACAATCGTCAGACAACGACGTTCCCTTCAATGTATGCATGACGAGACTATACATGCATGGTCCTGTGATTGTACAGTTCCTGTACATTTTAACTTTATACCATTGGAATTTTCAGGTCCTTTCATTTCAGAAATCCGAAAAATATAGCGAAAACAGCACTGAATGGTGAAAACAGCAAAAAATTGTGAAATTTCACGCTCAAAAGCAAATTGTCACGTGATCGACATCTTCACTAGTGAAGATATGGAAATGTCTCGCTGTGTATTTTTCAGTATCTCACTCTCTACTATACAGGGTGTATCAAAAAAAGTAAGACAATTTTGAAATTGCTCTCAATTCCACAATTCTGTTCATGAAATGTAATTTTTGCTATATATGGATTGCTTGAGTTCTTAAATTATGGAAAATATAAAAAATTTTGAAAATAGCAAATTTTGCTATCCAGGGGGGTGGTCAACTTTTGCTCCCCTAAAAGTGGCTTGCGCACGGAAATGACAAACGGTATTCTTTATTTGAGTTCATGTATGAAAAGTTCGCTATTTGTTGCATTTATGATAAAACTTCGGCAGGATTTTACAGAGTACAAATCCTCCGAAAAGCCTATGAAAACGTTACATTTTTCTCTGTTGGTGCTGTTCTTGCTTCATTATGAATTCATTTTTACTCCCATGAGAGTTCCATGGAATTTCCATGGAATTTGTGCTTTCGAGTTGTTTGTGCTGAAACGCATTTTCTCGTATAATACCTCGTAAACTTTGAAATGGCGATGCCACAATTTACCCCGCAGCAGAGAGCTTTTATGGTATCAGAGTTCCTCCGTAGCAACAACATAAACTTGGTTCGCCAAAGTTTCACGAAAGAATATCCAGATGTACGATGCCCTTCACTGACGTGCGAATACGCGTGAAGGGCATCGTACATCTGGATATTTGTTCGTGAAACTTTGGCGAACCAGCTAGGTTTATGTTGTTGCTATGGAGGAACTCTGATACCATGCATAAAAGCTCTCTGCTGCGGGGTAAATTGTGGCATCGCCATTTCAAAGTGTACGGGGTATTATACGAGAGAATGCGTTTCAGCACAAACAACTCGAAAGCACAAATTCCATGGAAATTCCATGGAACTCTCATGGGAGTAAAAATGAATTCATAATGAAGCAAGAACAGCACCAACAGAGAAAAATGTAACGTTTTCATAGGCTTTTCGGAGGATTTGTACTCGGTAAAATCCTGCCGAAATTTTATCATAAATGCAACAAATAGCGAACTTTTCATACATGAACTCAAATAATGAATACCGTTTGTTATTTCCGTGCGCAAGCCACTTTTAGGGGAGCAAAAGTTGACCACCCCCCTGGATAGCAAAATTTACTATTTTCAAAATTTTTTATATTTTCCATAATTTAAGAGCTCAAGCAATCCATATATAGCAAAAATTACATTTCATGAACAGAATTGTGGAATTGAGAGCAATTTCAAAATTGTCTTACTTTTTTTGATACACCCTGTATAATAAATAGCCATATTCAAAGATGTTGTCAATGTATATACGTGTATGATAAGTGTTAATACATGATTGGCCGCTCTCAACTCATAGTTATATGAGGAAGTTTCTACAGTACGTCCAGTTATCATTATTTTGTGAATTTCGAAGTAAAATAGAATATCGGTATCCGTACAGGCCCTTGAATATCGGAATATTGGTAAATGTCCATATCGGTACATCACTATAACTGCCGTCATGCAGGTGTTGACGGAAGGAAACGTAGAGTTGCATGTTTTCGACCAGTTGTATGAGTGCCGCTGCGTCTGAGACAAAGCAATTCAGTAAATGACATTCAAAAACTCATTAATAATTCATGAAGAAATTATCCAATCTTGAGTAAGAAATTTGTCACGTGCATACGTCTTTATACCAGCTAAAGAACACTTTAACAAAAGACCATTGGTATGCAAACTATATAAAGATTTTTATATAAAGATTTTTATATAAAGATTTGACTTATTATGCATACGTTTTTGAAGTCATTTAAAAAACTCGCGTGTCGTGTTTTATTAGGTCTAAAGCCACTCGCGCTGCGCGCTCGTGGCTTTAAACCTAATAAAACACGACACGCGAGTTTTTTAAATAGTACTTCATGCAGGTATACCAGTTTAAAACTTAGGAAAAAGTGGAGGAAAACTTAAAAGAAAACGAGATAGGATAATTTTATCACTGTCCACTGATGAACATTTAACATACAAATACAATATACAACAATTTCCATATACAAACGAGACTATAATATCCTGCTATATTAATATTCTGACCGAACAAGGTCAGTCAATAAGTTATAATTATATGGCTATACATATAAAACAATGCTTATATATAATTAAATTATTTACAACACTATATTTGAAAACGCAGGAAACTTTAATTTTTTGTAACAAGATGTTGACAAAGATACTATAACTAGGATAAAACAATAAGACAACGTCGTTGAAAACAGAGCAGTTCTCAATCCATGCAGTTTGACTTCAGCTATAGTTCGCCGAAAAAGCCGTTCATTGGCGGCAAGTGTCAAGTATCACTCTGTTAGCATTTTACGTGCTATGAAAAGTGTTTTTATACGATTTTATACGTTTTGAAGCTTGTATACCTAGGTCACATATTTATTTACTGCATAGGGCCTTACTGCAGGTTACCGACCGCTCAGGAGCAACCAGAATGCGCGCTGCATTTTGCAGATGCAAAATATATTTTACTAAATATTTATGATAAATATTGCAAATCCATCATTCAGTAACTGTCTTATGGTTTCTCGCAATATACAGTTTTCTCATTATAATTTCACCTCAGTCACAAGTGAGACAAGTGCTTTCAGATTGACTCTCAAAAACACCGCGCGTTTTCTCCGCGTACTCTGGTTTCCTCCTGTAGTAAAGGCTATCTACTTCTACCGTATAGTTCCACTCTATATAGTGCTCAGGAAACAAAGAAATAAGGAACACTTCGGTGCGATACGGTTGAAATAGACTAAACGGCCTTGACGGCTACCAACGCGCATGGGGATATTCCTTACCAGGTTCCTTACTATACACCTCTAGATACAACAAGAGTTGAACTGTATAAATGAACTTACTTTAATTCATTCTATTATAGCCTACACGGATTGTGTGGGGAAATGTGTCTTATTCTATTTCTAATTTTAAAACTTGCAATCTAACTCGATACAACTACGTATAGTCACATAAGTATGTGTTGCTCTTATGAGGAAAACGTTGCATTTGATTTTCTGCGCAGAGAAATTGGGAAAGGAATTTTCTGATCATGGCCATATACAGTTTGTATCAGGATCAGTTTTATCAACTAAAATTGACTGTGAGTCACAAGCATCACCTAATGTTGTTTCCATGCTGGTTGGGAAGGTGCAGGCCTAGGAAAGTCAGAACAAGGAATTCAAGATCCGATTAAACAAGGAGAAATCAGAGATAAACAAGATATGTTCAAGGTAAGTAATCTGACAAGTATAAGTAAGTAACTATTGGTACTAAAATACCACTATACTCTTCATTCGTTCTCGCGTTGCACGCCTTGGATAAATGTGTGTCGCGACTCACTGTTGAAAAGACATATCAGTAATCATAGTATCTTCACTTAAATCACCACGTCGTAAACAGGACTTTGTTATTGCTTTTCTAAGATCTCCACAAAAATACAGGTTAAGAACGGCATTTACGATCGTGCTTATATGAAGTATAGAGGTAGCAATAGCGTTGATGAATGGTGACGGATAGGCAGAGGTGACTTGCATGATGCTGACGATCGTTAGGGGCATCCAACACACGAAACAAGTGGTATTTATCCAAATTACCAGCAAAGCAACTTTTCTTTCATGTGCTGTAAAAGAAAAAAATATATATAGTGAAGATTATCATAAGGCTATCATAAGCTTGAGCTGAGCCAGTGTAGGTAGTAGCAATAATATGAAGCTTTCGTTCGTAGGTATGCAACTACCTGAAAAATATAAGGAGAATTTCGACGTTTCCAGCGAAGGCCCTTTAGCGCCGTTTACATGAGACACGGACGAAGTATATATAAGAGCTTGGCGGAACTAAAATCGTACGCATGTTCATTCTTCGGATCGGAAATCATTCTATTTTCTCCCTTGTATTTCGAAACTGCAATCCACAATCAACTTTGCTAGCCTTGCCTGCTGATACCATGTGTTATCTACGTTTTTCCAACCCAAACCAGGTCGAAAATATTTGCACGGTGTTTATACATTCATCCTGTCCGAATTCGTATACGTCCCGGCATGAAGGTATTATTAATAGTATATGTTCGGCCTGCATGATATTGCAGTCTAAAGGCCTGTTTAAACTATTTTAGCATCCAACATTTTTACATGGTCGAACAGTGTTGGATGAAAATCCTGAATAAAGCCAAACTAATCCAACATCAGCTGACATTACCTAACATAATGTTCATAAATTACGGTTGCCATAGAGTAATTTATAATTGAACACAAAACAATAGACATGCACTCCATGAATTGTTCATTCTCTACGTTTTGATTATTACTTTGTATAGTCATCTTCAGGATCGTCTTCTCTTGACGATGACCACAAAGTAATAGTTGAAACGTAGAGAATGAAAATGTTAGCAATTTATGGAGTGTCTATTGTTTTCTGTATATATAATGTTCATGTTGTACTTGTGGGCTTTAAGCAATTTTTCGTCCCCGTGTACTTATAGTTGTCTATAGTTATAGTATATCTCAAACTGTTATCAAAGTTAATTAATCAGAACGCTTTAATAATACCTTGTCTGGCGGCATTTCTTCTCTCATCAATCGATTGAATTGGCGCTTGATGGAGAATCCTCCGATTATGTCTCCATAAATGCGCAGCCATTTTGTAGTTAAACACAACTATTATCCCAAACGGAGTTATACAATAAACGGACAATATCAGCACGAGCATTACTATACGATCATGAAACACAATTGCACATGCCCCAACACGATAGTCATATTCAACTTGTACAGCAAACGGTCCAATAATGGTCTCAAAGATCACTGCATGTATCCATATAAACACAACCACAGCAATGACTCGTTTTCTTGTGATTATTGCTGAGTATCTGAGCATAGACTTTACGGCAAGAAATCTGTCAATTGACATGCAGGCCAAAGTTTCTGTCGCAGTGACATAAAGTGAATAGAATGTGGTACCAACAAAAATACATACAGATTTTCTGTTCGCTACCAGATCTGGCTTCATGACTTGCAGTATTTGAGATGGAATGACCACAATACAAATTAACAACTGAGCAAAAGTCAGACTGACAAGTAGGACACTGGAAGGTCTTGCCCGGGTTGGTCGCAAATTAAGATGGCCAAACAGGACAAGAATATTAGCAGGAACTGCTAGAATCATGATGAAAATTGATATTGTTGAGAAGCTGATAACTTCATCTTTGGCAAAGAAGTGGACCATACTTCCATTCATTGTTGAGGCGTTAAAACAGCGCACGCCAACAACATATATGACTTGAATTAAAACCACGATGTATGATGCACTTGATAGGAAACGGCGTTTAAGTAATCTAAAATATACTTTAAATAGTACATAAAATATTTATGTCTATAATGGTCACGAAATGTTTGTTTATACTGAATAAAAATAATAGTAATGAGCAAAGCAGGTGTAAATTCTGTTTAGAATTTCTTTGACGAAATTGAAATTTGAACCAACCGAGACAAGTCATATCTATTTGCCGAAATAATTTTAGCCTGAGACTGATTCTAAACTGTCTACCATGATATATAGTACATTTATTATAAGGTTATAAGTATAGTTGTACAATGTTCTACTCGTCTCTTGTATTGTGCTTTTGTCAGTCCAGAAACTTTGTCGAATGTGGATACCCTGCCGAACTTAAATAATTTAATAAGCAATTTTTTTCAATAACAAACGTCGAAATTCTCCTTATATTTGTCAGGTAGTTGCATCCAACGAAAGCTTGTTAATATTATTGGCACTACCTATACTGGCACAGACAGTTCAAGCTTTTTCAATGTCGCGTATTTGCGATGGAAAGTGTTCAAAACCTAAAATCGTTTTGGTGTTCCTCTCAAAATTAGTTTGTTTTAGCTCTATTTTGTAGTTTCCACATGCAGTTAGCAACCTTCTTAAATTATCCGGTTGAGAAACACAAAATAGTAGTTAAATATTGTTAACATAAATACAATTATCATTGATGCTGTATTCTCCTCTTAAAAGGTTTCCGAAAGTATAGCGGCTCCTCATTTGCATGCACGCATGTTTTTTATATGTCCAGATGTTGCTAACAATTATATAGTCTGCGTCGCAGGTTATAGTAGTATATACCTCGGGAAATGTGCTGTTTTGTACAGGGTTTATGACTACGAATTAACGCTAACCCTTCGCTCTAAACGTGGAAGTTCTGCTTGTATGTTTCAGGTAGTTGTATTCCTATCAATCCGCAGCTTTGTTATTATCGTCATGCACTGCCTACACTGCAGGCTGACTGGCACAGATGGTTCGAGATTATAATCGAACCACGCGGGCTTTAGGACCAGTTCAATTTGACAACAGTAATATTACATCGAATTAGCATCTTAATATACAGTATGTAAAATAGTTTGTACAGTACCTGAAATATTCAATATCCTGCTTGTATATATACACATGGATAAAGGCCCATTTCCACTCAAGAAAAGTTTCCACGGAGGGAAAATGTTCTGAAAATATCATTGTTGAAAGCTGAAAATTTTCAACTTTGGAAAATTTGTGTCGGCCAATCACATTTTACTGAAAATTTTCTTTGTGCGGAAAATTTACCTGAGTGGAAATGGACGTTAAGATATTCAGCAGCATGGTGCCGGTTGTATACGAAGACCGGAATTACGGACTGATGGACGACACAGTTAATAAAAAGGAACTTTCACTTGTAATGGAACTTTCATTTAAAAAGGAACTTTCATTTATAATAGACCAGTCAACAGGTTATTTTAGGAAGCTTGAAAAATCCCTATTCGGTGGATATAGTGCAGTATACCTGACCTTCGTACGGCAGGTCCCTGTAGTATCCTCGTCCCTCGAGGTCCAATAATGCACATCCTCGCCCCTCGAGGATGCATAATGCAAAAATATTTTTGAAATCGGTCATATTTACTTACACAAGCTTTCAAATTCTCACGCGGAGTTATTATGTCACTTCCTATATCTGTGTTCACACCATCATGGATGTGATCTGCACAAATTGTTATGAGTGGAAAGAATCTTATATTAACATCATAGCATGATTATTACTGGGACACGTTTGTGTTATATAAGGAGTGTCGTTTCATCTCGCTTGGAACGATGGCATTTTAGATGATCCTACCTCCCAATAATTTCAGTGGAAATCACGAGCGTGACATAATGATTCTCCGTGAGAATTTGAAAGCTTTGGTACTATTGTAAATAAATATGGTTAGTATTTTTACATTATGCATATGCAGGTGTCTCATAATCGTAAAGCTGGGATTGATTGGAATACAATACTTGAAAAATAAAAATAAAAATAAAAATAGAACTTCCACGTTTCGAGCGAAGATCCTTCGTTGGAAAGTTAATATCCAAAAATTGCGTGAACAAATGGTGGAAAACGGGCTAGCTTAAGGTGTGAACCTCGGATATCAAGCATTTACATTGCATTCACTATTAATTCAAGAGAGTCGAAATGACAGCAAAACACTGTTGCAACATTATTATACTTCACATTTAACACTGAATATATTATTTTATACTTTTTAGGGTATTGGGGTTGAAATCAACGATCCTTTCGATCGATATCGAAGAAATATGAGCTACACTTACAATCGTCGTAAGTAACAATTTTATTTCATACATTGTTGTAACATTGATATTTTTCAAAGAGAGATTGATTTAAACGTACTAGAAAAAATGGTTTTCAGAATGGGCTCGTTCCAAAACAACTTTTTCCAGTATTCTGTAGGAATGTTGAATACCTTTTCAAAGATTCTCCCTAATGAAGAGGGTACACTTTGGATTGGGATGATTATAATATAGCTTCCATATAGTCTGAACGTGGTGGTCATTTTAGACAGTCGTCTGCTATGAGCTGTTTTTTAATGACTAGAATTAGCATAATTGAAATGGCCAGCAGTGTCCACCACCAAAAATTGACAAGCAGTGGCCAGCAGTGTCCACGAACAAAAACCGGCATGTGCGCGCTAAAGATATTAATCAGGTTGTACATACTAGTACTGCTCACATGAGTCCTGTCAGTGCTCATCAGATCGTTACGCAACACTGCTCATTTGATACAGCTCAAGGAATTCCTTTCGAAGACAAAAACCTTTACACTATCAGAAACGTGGTTGAACACTACGATAACGAATGCCGAGATTTACATCGAGTGTTATACATTATTCAGACAAGATCGCTTAAATAAACGTGGAGGTGATGTTTGTGCATATATACATCCGAAATGACATTAAGATCTCCAAACTCAAGGAAATTTCATCTGCTTGTGAAACCTATTTCCATCTGCTTTGGCTGAAACTCCAAAGCAAAAAGTTAAAATCTATCGTAATATGCATATCCTACAGACCATGCCCAAAGTATCCGCTGTCCTGCCTAGAAACCAACTTGAAACCGAGTTTTGCCCAAGCCCTTCTCCTAAACAAGTCCGTTTTTATATATTGGGAGATCTGAATTGCAACGTTATGAAGGACTGTCCAGAGAACACAGCACTTGGAAACTTCATGCTCGAGATGAACTTAAACCAATTAATCACAACACCAACTAGAACTGACAGACACTAGTGAATCGTTAATTGCGTGATAATAACTTCAACTTCCCATCTTGTTAACGAAAGTGGTGTTATGGATACTACTATAAGCGATCATTTACCGGTGTACGCAGTCCTTAAATGAAGCCACCCAAGTCACCACCGCAATATATCCTAACGCGAAGCTACAAGGACTACGACGGCGAAAGGTTCACCGCCCACCTTGCATCAAGATCGGAAAAGCTTGTTTCCATCTTTTCGGATTCAAATGTCAATTCCAAACTCGACAAGTTCAACAACATCCTTCTTACAACTTTGGCTGTACATGCTCCAGTCAGAATAATTAATTAAGATCAAAAACCGCTCTTGTCCCTTCATCACAACAGATATCAAATATCAAATGTCCCACAGAGACCAACTCCACCGTCGTTACAAACGGCGCGATATCGAAGATTGGAGAGCATTTAAAAACGCCCAAAGATCAGTCAAATCCACTTTAAAAGCTGCTGAAAAACAATACGTTCGAACTGAAGTTAACCTCCATAAAGATAATCCTAGATCGTCGTGGAAAGTGATTAATGGGTGCATTCCATCAAAAGATAAAATAATTTTGACTTACCACAAAAACACATTAGAGATGGTCAATGATTTCAACCAGTTCTTTCAATCTGTGGGGAAAAGAAAAACGTTATAGTCCTACAAATTAATTTAACCTAAATATATCAACTGAGTTGGAGTCCCAGCTTAGGAGATCTGAACTCTTCTCTACGGAATTGTTCAAGTTCACTCCCGTCACATGCACATGCAGATCTAGAGGTCACGGCAATGCATAATAACAACAATACCGTCGAACAAATCTCCAGGACCAGACAAAATCAGCATGCGGATTATTAAAGATTGTCTTCTGGTCATACTCGGTCCATTGACAGACATTATTAATAACTCATTCACTACCTCGACTTTCCTTGAGTCCTGGAAAATAGCAGAAATTATACCACTCTTAAAGGATCTGATCATGAAGTTGCCTCAAATAACCGCCCACTTTCAATGCTCAAAGTACTATCAAAGATCTGCGAAAAAGTTGCTCTCAAACAATTTAGCGGTTTTCTTAACCGCACTGGCCACCTTTCATCCGAACAAAGTGGAAACAAAAAGTATCATTCAACCGAAACACTCAGTATATTAGTCAATGATATTTTGCTAAAATCGATGGACAACAAGAAGATTACTACTCGATCTAGTCCTTTTGGTTCTCTCAAAAACATTTGACAGCGTGGACCATTCAATCCTGTTAAAGAAACTAAGCAATATGGGGGTTTCAGGTGAAGCCCTTAGCTGGTTTGAAAGCTACATATATTTCAGATAGAAAGCAGTTCGTTCGCATTGGCTCCTCGGTATCCGCAGTCCTTCCAATCACCTACGGAGTGCCTCAGGGAGCAATATTGTCACCGCTATTGAATTCTGCATCTATATAAATGACCTCTCAAGAGTACCACAGTCATCCGAGTTGGAATCATTCGTCGACGATTCTAAGATCATGCATGCTATGCAAATTTTTAATGATTTGCACTATTCAAACCTTTAGAAATGTATTGTCTTTAACCTACTTGGATGCAGGTTTATAGCATAACATGACGAGTTGCCATGGCTAGCCATTGAGTCCCGCCCAATTTATTCCACCTGTATATAAATAATTTTATTTTTGCTGGCTGAAGATTTCCTATCATCATAATTGTGCACGTGTTTTAGCACGTAGAGATCGGGATCAGAAGTAGATAGAAGCTGGTAATGAAGTAATCTCTGATGAACTGGAACATCCATGAATTTCCATGAATACAGTATAGCCATAGGAGAACGGGGCTAATATTTTCCGGGGGGAGGGCAGTTGAAAGTTTGCCCGAATTTTTATGGAAAATTGTAATGAAATAACCTGATTTTGACATATTTTCTGATACATCTGCCCGAATTCTCTTATTACGGACATATTCGGAAAATGGGATGGCCATTCGGAAAATTACGGCAATAATAGTATATGGCTTTTGTACGGAAATCATGAGATTGGGAGGTCGCCAAGTATTTTCGAATATTCGGAAATTTTCTTCGTCATTCGGAAATTTTGGGCCTACACCCCCCCCCCCCAACTATAAATGCTAGCTACGGCACTGGCTGTCTGTGCTGAAACGTTGTTTCCAGTTGCCATGTTTTTTTAAGGTTTTTTTTTAAACAAACGCGGAAACAGTCAAAGTTTCCAAAGAAACTTTGAAGACTTTGATTGTTTTTTGACTGAAGCAATTTTCAAATGTCCCGCAACAGTGTCAGTGTTCCAAGACATCCCAGTTTATCCAAGGCCCAAAATAGCCCAATACAACTCATTCTAGATCTTGGGCCCGCTGTGCCCTGAAAAAGGCGGGAATTTTTTCTGAATCAAAATGGCAGACAATACAAAGTCTACAAACCATTCAAATAATAAAAATGTCAAATCGTTGGCAAATTCGTCCACTGTGTTGATATCTGACAATGTAATATCCCTAAATGTGGAGGATCAGTATGATTTACGTTGGCCAACTTCACAAGAGCGAGATTTCACTCAAATTATTACTGAAGATACAGCAACAAAGTCAAACATTAATAATTGCGATGCCGATGGAAGGCAAGAAAAAGAATTAAAACAATGTCCAGAGGTAATAATATCTCATATTCTCTTGTATCCATGTGAACTTCATTACAAAACTATTTTGAATTGATCTGACAGTCTCTTTATCAGAATAGATGTGTTATGAATTTTGTATCATTATTTAAATGATATGAATTGCAATCTTTTGTATAATTGTATAAATTCACATGCCAACAACTTAGACATGGGCGTACCGGAAGGAAAAAATTAGGGGGGCGGCAAGAAAATTGCCCGACTTTTCGAGATTCTGCCCGACTTTTCGGGATTCTGCCCGACTAGGACCAAAAAAATTTTTCCGGAAAAATTATTTTGGCGACCTTCCCCCCCCCCGTCGCCAAAAAAATTTCGGTCAGTGTACCATTTTAGGGGTCAAAAAAATTTTCCGGACAAACAATTTTTCCGGAGCATAACATAAATTTTCGAAAAAAACAAAATTTGCCAAAAATTTGAATTAATTTTAGACAAAATTTACAGAATTTGACCCATTTTTTTTTATTGCAAACCAAAATTGCCCGACTGTTCATCGAATATTGCCCGACTGCCCAAAAAACTGGGGGGGCTGCCGCCCCCCCCGCCCCCCCGCCCGGTACGCCTATGAACTTAGATGTAAAGCAGGCAAGGGGGATATTAATTAGATCATTTCCCTGATCTAACCAAGACAATTCCTCTCCTTCCCCCCTTTTTCTTTATTTTGCCAAAGTGCTCCCAGTCCTTTAAGGCTCGTTTTCATTTATCAGTGTCACTTGCCAATGTTGATTCTGTAATTCCGCCTACTGTTAATTCATTGGCGACTGTCGCAATAAATCAGAAAATTTTTTTGTTGCAACAGTTGGCAGTAGTCGCAGACACTACGATAATAAAATAAATGAAAAAAGTAGGAATGTTCCAGTATCGGTTACTGTACCAGAAAGATTATACCAGTTGGATTTGAATGTTGCATTGAAAAATGCAACACTAGGTTCTCTGGTAGGAATCGAACCTGTCGCCCTGCGATTCTGGTGCAGCGCTCAACCAACTGAGCTACAGACTGAGGCCAGTTGTCGAGCTGTAACTGCAGGTCTTAAATTGTGTATATTACCACTAAACCCAACAAACGTGACTCTTCATTCCTTCAAGAATCTCAAAACTTGTTTTCTTTTCAACATGAGATGATTGGTCTTTACTTGCCTGGTAAACAGACTATCTTCCCAGGACTTCCATTAACTGCATTCACTCTGTACTGGATTAATTTATTTTATTAGATGAAGAAGATGCAACAAAAGAAGAGCTGTAATTCCGAGGAAAATAAAATATGTTGTAACAATCACAGCAACAAATCTAGTAGTTTTCTTGGACATAAGCCAAAGATGAAACATAGAAAATTGACATCATTGGAGTCTGTAGCACCTGCTGATTCTAATGGATTACAAAAAATAAGTAAAGTGCATAATCTTCAGTTAGCTATTAATACTTCTAAAAGTTGGCTAAGGCTTGTGTGGGCTACCATATATGGTATCGCTTTATGTATACTCGCTCTTCTTACAGTTGACAACTTCAGATTTCTGCTCACTGTATGCTGTCAAATATTTCCATTGTACAATTGGTTTTGCATCTCTCACAGTGAATTAATCCACAGTATATAAATTATAATGTACTGAAACAATTGGTCAAAACTGAGCAGAGTACAATGTATAGACCCATTGCACTGACGTCACAAATCCTTTGAGTGTCCTCCAGATGCTCCCTAACAATATCTGTTCGGATACAACAACCACATACAGCGCAAAAATTAACCATTTTAATACAAAATTATTATAAAATTTTAAAAAATTTGCTTTGTTTACAAAAGTTATATTATAAATAGATTGCTAATTTGTCCTCCAGATGCGTCGTCACCGGCACTGTGAGTACGTCATGTGCAATGGGTCTATACTGATACTATCTTAAAAAGAACAAAACAATAGACACTCCAAAAATAGTTAACATCTTATTCAACGTTTCGACTAGGTTTAAGTCATCAGGAATGACGCTATTGACAAATACTGAGATATATATTTACAAGTTAAGTCGATCAAATTACGCGCTAATTAAATATCACAAGTTCCTTAGAGGCTTTAGTTCCGTGATTAAGTTGATGAGTCCTGATGTACGACAATTGACAGCCAGGACAGCTAATTTGGAGACAACACTACTTTGCAGTTCTTTATCCGTTCAGTCTTTTAGGCTAAGATACAGTAGGTGTTGCTACTCATTGTGTCATAGGTCGTGATAAATATCTATGACAATATGTATATATAAATATCTATGACACTATCTTCAATATGGCATTTTGTTTGTGCACACTGGTGCCCAATTCATGTACAACATGTGAGATTTACCATATTCGAATATTTCTTAGATCATTGGAATGTTTTCTCAGATGAAATCATTCTTGGAATATTTTCTTTCCTTGCCAAGAAGAATCTTTGTGTTTGTGCCAAAGTTTGTAAAAAATGGCGAAGTCTAGCGTAAGTGGTTCTATTTTTAAACAAAAAGCTGTAACATATAGGTTCAAATGTGCATCACCCTTAATATTAGTGAGCTTCAGATTTGGATTCAAATCTCAACCTCTCTATTATTTCTGAACCAGTTTCAGCTCAAATATTGAAATATAGTGTCCTCCCTGGTGTGCCCCCACACACATGTTCTCTTGTATGTGCAGTAAACAGTAAGGACCTACTGTAGTTGGGTTTCAAGCAATCCCACACGACTTTGACACAAAGTTTAATAGATTAGTGCCAGATTAAGATTATAGATTAGGGTTAGATTAAGCTTATATTAGGGTTAGAGGTTAGAGTTGGGGTTGGATTAGGGTTAGGTTCATCTATCCCAATAACTTTTTATATTGCATACAATGAATCGGTTTACAATTACGTTGGATTATTGGTTACAACGTGCGGAACGGCTGGTTGAAGTGTCCTTCATGTGCACTGGACTGGAGCATTATGAACGCTACCTACAAGTCTTTTCTAAACTAGTTCTAATTGATTCAAAAAATATCAAGTGCCTTGACGAGACTATACTGATCCGTGAAATATTAATAAACGAGGAAGCGTTTCCGGCATCTAAAATATCGAAAAGTATGTTGAAAAACGTCAAGCCACATACTTTGAGATGTTTTATACGCCGGTAATCAACAGATTTCGAGTTTGTTGAAGGAGTTTGTAGATGGAATTTCGAAATGGCGAATGTACTGTAGATGCCCCAAATCCTGATATTTTCGAGTTTGTTATATATTAGTTATTCCTTCTCAAACAGACTCGTTGATTATGGGCATTTTTTACCGTGCGCATTTTTTACGGTGCTGGTTCATTTACGTTTTGATCATGAACTTGATTAATGAGTTCGAGAACTATAGTTTTACAGAATTATGACTCTAAGTATAAACGAAGAAATAATTTTTATCGTCTACATTATCTTCAGTTCGCGGAGGTACATTGTACTCTGAAAGTGAAAGCAGGGGCCGATTGTATAAAAAAGTGATTAAAGTTAACTACAGTTAGTGGAAACGTCATCCAATAAAAAGCGCGTATTTGAGAGTTAATCACTATTTAACTACAAAATAGTGATTAAAAAAGTGATTAAGAGTTTTATACAACGGCCCCTGGTTATTTCAGCAGCGAACGAAAAAGAGTTAACTACTTTTTAACTGCAGTTAGCGCTAACTACATTTTTATACAACCGGCCCCAGGATTTTCGCTGAATTTCGCTTTCAATTTTTCTCTTTCTGATTGCTGCGATCTATTGAATTATAGACCAACGTGATATGCCTTTGGAAGTCCGATTCGCAGAAATCGCCCATAAAAAATTGCCGGAAAAAATAGTTAGTTGTGAAGAGGCTTAATTAATACTCTGACGTCAGCCAAAGTAAAAAAGTAGCATGAATGAATGGCGATAAATTGTAACAATGTGAATTATAAGCCCCATAACAGACAAGGAACTCGAACACCAAGGAAAATTTAGTCTTCTGTTATTCCGGAGCATTTAATCGAGTTTTGGAGCTGAATCAGTGGCAGGTACTTGATGATGAAATATTTGGGCGTGAGGGTTTCGTTGTCCACTGGATTGCTTGTTGCAAATTTTAGTTCTCAAACCATTTCTCGACTCACAAAGTGCTCACAATAAATACAGCAGCTATATACTTTGCTTTTTAATGAAAAGGATATTAAGTGATCATTGAGGAAGACATGTGATTGCACTAAGGGCGCTTTCCATGAACAGTCAGAACGGTCAAATTGTTGAATGACACACAAAATTTGGGCTTCGGACCGATCAGACCAGAACATTTGGACTAAATTGAAGGAGGATCATTTTCTCTAGATGTTCGAGAAACCTGGGCCAGATCTTTCCATTACAGACAAAAATTCTGGTCTAATTGGTCTGGCCATCAAGTGGAAAGGCCCATAGTTACAGTATCTGCATGGTTAATTAGAGACTTTAAATAGAATATTTATGCTAACGTCATATAACAGCTATAACTAACACAATTATATAATAACCTTGAAAAACGGAAACAATATAGTGTTTTATGTAAAATAATGAAATTTCAATCTGATCGCATCGTTTTGGAATAAACAGTCCGTAACTGGTGACGTGACTATAAGAAATTTTTACTTATGCCCTTCTTTACTTAGAAGCTAATATTTGCACTTAAACAGAAGGGACGTATCAAGATATGCTCATATATTGTAAATGCCAAGTTTTAACAGGAATGAATAACATTTAGGATAAGCCAACTGAATTCAGTTTTTCTCCAATTTGAGGGCAACATTTCTCCAATCCCCCAAATTGGAGATCAAAAACTAAATCTAGTTTGCTGACGCCAAATGTTATTCATTCCTGATGAAACTTGGCATGTGCAATAATTATATACATGCATGTTTCTTTATATGTTCCTAACTCAGTGCAAATGTTTGCTTCTAAAATACATTTTGGGCGGCGTAAATAAAATTTCTTGTGGTCACGTTATTTATATACTAAAAGATGTTGCGCTTTACTTACAAAATTTCCAAATATTTTTACTTAAGACACTACGTTTTGTTTGTTTGTTTGTATGGTTATTACTCCATACGTGCTATAATTCTGGTACGTAGTTTATGACGTCATCATTAAAGAGGTCTATAGATGTCTTAGGGTCACCCGTTAAGGTTAGGATTATGGTTAGGAATCAATTATTGAATTATAATAGCGAGACATGAATCTATAACCTTTAATAAATGTTGGGGCCCGCCACTGAGGTAAATATCTTCACTATTCCAAGAAATACATAAGTTCAACCAGTACGGTAACTTATATATAAATTGTAACTTGTTCTTTCATAACATACTTAATTATATAGGTGTGATAAAAGTTTATGGCAGTCGTTGGATTTAACTGGATTGACATTAAGAGAGGATGTTCTCCAACATTTGTTCATGCGAGGTGTTGTAGTGATGAGATTAGCTTGGCTTGAGGTACTTATTAATATGCTAATAGAAACAAAACCTAATTCTTTTACAGATTTGTATATATAGCATCTCAACTAAAGTTACAGTATGTCGTACTCACGCACTGGACAATTTTTGTTGTTAACTGTGTTAATATTGTTATATTAATATTAATATTAATATTGTTATATTAATATTGTTATATTAACAATTGTCAGACAACGACGTTTCCTTCAATGTATGCCCGACATGACTATACATGGTCCTGTGATTGTACAGTTCCTGTACATTTTAACTTTATACCATTGGAATTTTCAGGTCCTTTCATTACAGAAATCTGAAAAATATAGCGAAAACAGCACTGAATGGTTTGTGAACAACATGTTCTTCTGATTCAAAATACTGTCTGTATGAGAAACCTATATTTTATACTACTGAATTACTTTATGTATTGATTTAACAATCAGAAAGTAAAATATTTGGGGTTTTTGTTTTAGGGATCAGCATGAACCGTATGATGTTCAATATTTGGACGCCTCTTCAAGCTCAATTAAAGAAAATGTTTTGTTACGGTTGTTATCGGTAAGTATAAGTTCATGGCAGTTTTACGATTTCAGCCAGTCGGGATCTAGAACTTGGCTGCCCAAATTTGGGATTAGCCGACGACATGATACCATAATTATATACGTGTTGGTGAGTGCCTGGGTGGTGTATAGAGGTATGCCATCCCTGCGTTTTTTGAATGATTCTTGGTTTTTTTGAATGATTTTTTTTTGTTTGTTTTTTTGAATGTTTTTTTTTTTGGGTTTTTTTTAATGATTTTTTGAATGATTTTACTAAAAAGTGAAATCATGGATGACATGGGTGATGGAATCAGTAAAGATTTATGATCAATCAATTTACGAAATTAAATGCAATTTGGTACAGTCAGCAAGTGCACCCAAACAAACATCTTGGAACGTTTATGTGGTTGTCATGGCAACACACTAGTTACCAGGTCTCTCTTCTTATTTTAGTAATATCTGCCGTAGACACTTTAGAACGAAAATTTATTTGATAGTTTATCTTCACCACGGCACCTATAAAAATAGGTACGCTGTAGCTTACGTGGCGTCTACTGGATCAAAAACAAAGAATGCTTAATGTGAATAAAATACACGAAATGACAAATTTTATTAGAATAAAGATTTAGGCTATAACATAGCACACAAATATACACTTCCATAGCGAATCTGGTGCGTCAATCAGTTCTTAAATGTTAAGTGTATTAATTATACCATTTCCAAGATATTCATTTTTCGCGGCAATATAGTTTGCAGCCAAAAACGTTTATTGACAGTAGGCGATATCTCTTCAAAGATTTTTTCCTTTTTGTATTCCAATGACACGATGGCTGGACGTTATGAAGTTTTGCCATTCAATTTGAAAACAATGTTACACAATAATTGATATACACACGTTATACACATGCACGTCATTTCTAAAAAAATATAAAAAGAAAACAATGAGACACACACACACACGTTTATAGCACAAACACGAAACTATTTTTAACATTGCCACGAAGTAAAATAAAGAAAGGTACTACTAACCTGTTGTGTTGCCCAAGGATAGGTGTATGGTAGGATGTGGCATATAGAATGGCCACACACAAAGATTTTCATAAAATGAACATCAGTTAGGTGTGCAATGTCCATATATACGTTTACAATGAATATTTTTGTTATCGTCTCTGAGAATTCCATTATCACCTGTTTGAGCATGTTAGAGAGTTTCTGATGAAAAGATCTTTTTTTTATTATAAATTTATAATATTTAAACAGGGAGCCCATATCTCCCAGGAGTTTTTCAATGGGGCCCTAAATTTGTGTTTGAGGTGACTCCAAGGAGTTTTTCAATGGGGCCTTAGATTTGTGTTGGAGGTGACTAAAGTTGAAATATTTCTTTCAAGCTGCATTTCATGTGATCGTCCGCTTTATAAATAAAATATCTATTCTCACCGACTGAATACATGCACGCTAAGCAAAATACCAGATAGTCATTGTAAGTGAATGAGTGAAATACATTATAAAGTACGTTATTATTTATCTCGGCTTTAACCTAACTAAAGAGCCTGTTCCCAGGAGAAGTGAACTGTCCACTCTATATCCATATATCTATATAAACCTCTTGTCGACAGCATATGACGACTACCGTTCCAGTGGACGCCAAAAACCATATCAATAAATGAAAATCACAAAAAGTCCTTAATATTCGTTGGAAGCAAAACATTGGACAAATTGGAAGCAAAGAATTGGGCAGAGAGACCTGGTAACTAGTGTGTTGCTATGACAACCACTTAAACGTTCCAAAATGTTTGCTTAGGTGCACTTACTAACTGTACCAAATTTCATTTCATTTCGTTGAATCACTTCTGAGATATTAGATTTTCTTCTTCTTGCTGCCATCTTATTAAGCATAACTATATGTAGTGACGTCATAACACAAAAATACAAAATGCTCGATAACTTCATTTTCAAGCTACTTTCAAGTGAAGCATAAAAGTTGGGGAGAAATTTTCGTGTCACATGCATGTACTTTAATTAAAAAGAGTAGCATATAAGGGGAACTTCAAAAGATGTTGTCTGCCGCGGCTGGGTCTTGAACCCGCGACCTTCGAATTACTAGATCGACGCTCTACCAACCGAGCTACACGGTCAGACGGATCTAAGACTGGAAATTATGAACATATTACGGAGTGTACAATTACACAACTTAACATAACACTTGCAGAACTAGTATTGTTCGATGCTGAATTAATATAAACGAGTATATTTATGACATTCAGTATATATTTCATAATTTCCAGTCTTAAATCCGTCTGACCGTGTAGCTCAGTTGGTAGAGCGTCGATCTAGTAATTCGAAGGTCGCGGGTTCAAGACCCAGCCGCGCCGGGCAGACAACATCTTTCTGCTTGCGCTGGGTATGGAAATTATATAATACACACTCTAGAACATTTTCATCTTAACATATTACGGAGTGTACAATTACACATAGAAAAGATCTACACACAGGACACAACACCTACAATGCAGCTAAGCACTATTTTTCACACGCTATTTCTGTGTCTTGTGAATGTTTCCTTCATGGTTGCAGGAATATTTCTGAATTCGGTGGTTATAATCAGTCTAAGGAGGTCATCACAACTTCGAAAGAAACTATGCTACTTTATGATTTTTGTTTTATCTTGTTTTGATCTTGCTGTAGTCGTCATCAATCATCCTGTCCTAATACTATATAAAATTACACGGACATTCATATGTCTTCTCTTGTCAGGTTTTTCAATGTTTGCTCTATTAACGCTGAATATGGAAAGATTCTTAGCGTTAAAATATCCATTTTTCCATCAAGCCGCAGTCACCAAAAGGAGACTTTTACTTTTTATGCCACTTTTGGTGACCACAGAGTCGCTCTGTCGCCATTGCTATATTTTTACGCGAAAATAATTGGTAATATTTTTAAATTGGCTCTCGCTTTAACTCTCTTCTTCGTGTTCATTTTCTTGAACTACAAAATGTTTATCATCGCCAAGTCAAAACGCGAAGTTGCCGAAAGGGCCGCTTTAAATAGTACAGCAACGTCCAACTATCAAGAAAGAAAAAAACACAAATTAAGGTGGCTTCCTACAGTTTTGATTGTACAGCACACAATTGTATTAAAAAACCCCCATTATTTTATCATCTTACAAAGTATGATCACGAAACTTGGCCACATAACTGCTACAATATCGCGAATTACGAAAAATAAAAAATGTCGTTAAAAATCCCCGTTGCCATGGTAACAAAGCGATTTTAAAAAGGGCCAATTGGCATATTCTTTGGTAATTTTTTGAAAATTTCTTCGGTAAAACTTTTTAATTTTTTGCACACAGTAATTTTATCTATAATTCCTTCAAATGATAGCATTTAAAAAAAATCGTACGAGTTTTTTTTTAATCCTCAAAAAGCCCTGTTTTTGGAATAAAAAAAATTCGGCTCGTACGATTTTCTTAAAACTTGCACATTTTACGCATTTCAAGATTACAGGAAAGTCTGTGAAGTTTTAAAAAATTTTATCGAAGGAAACACGAGAAAAATACATTTATTTTTATCTATGTGACGTCACAAAAATCAGGATTTCAATTTCCTCGCGCGACCAGCCGACGATCCCACGAAGGCTCGCGCGTGTATATCACGACGCAATTTTAGTGCAGCGGGTAACTATAATAATTGTGCGTTTTTTGAGAAAAGCATGAAATTACTAACATAGTTAGTGCATACCATAAGCTTTATTTTCAGATGTGGAGGGAAGTCAGGTTTGACCTTGGGGACCGTGTAAGGTCAATCCAAGATGGCCGTCATTTCTTATGACGTAATCACACCAATCACGCTAAAATTTGGAACCAAGCAGTGTAGAAAAACATATTAGGTGTCTTTGTATGATAAAATTATGGATACACGTCCAATTGGTGATACGTTTAAGAC